TTACACGTGTAGTTTCCCAGATATTAGGGCAACACTCTGTAGAGAATGATATGATGAACAGTAGTCAATTCTGAGGAGTTTTTCATACCAGGCGCTTCAACTAGCACATAAATTAAGGAAACTTGGAGTGATGTTATCGTTTCATGGTGACTATATCCTAACTTACATAAAATCAACGGTGTAAAACCTGTATCACTCGGCTTAATTCAGCCTTAGATTGTCCGTTAGGCCCATAGACCTCCACAAAAACCGTCTTTCGTCTCTGTGCGCCAGTAATCTCTTCATAATAATATTATCTGCTTCCCAACTAACAGTATTAATTCTAACTAGTCAAAAAGAAAGCCATGCATTTTGTGAATCACGGTCGGTAACACCAGGTTTGATGTGGGAGGCCACACAATTCCTGTTTAACCTGAGAAGAATACAGACATCAAGCCAGTCAGTCAAATACAACGTAGAACTTTGTACATACTTACGTAAGTTCAGGTTGCCATTCCACATCAGCACACAGGCGCAATCGTCAATTACAATCCCATAGTGGTAGACATGGTAGAACTATTATCTTTATTGGAAAAGTTTCATTTCCGTAGTAATTACCACAGTATGTATAAAACTGTGCCTAACGGTAACTTTGACCAGCGACAGTTAAAATGTGTAAACGTCAAAAGATTATGTAACTTAGGAAAAATGATTACGGTGCGATGGTTTATAATAATAAATGCCAACGAAATACAAGCTTTAACATTTTAAAGTCGAAGTAAACTGCATATTCAAAAGTACTTTACCAACACACATAGCGCCAAAACCGTTCAATATGAGTTTGAATCTAACTTCTGGTAACATAAACGCAACATAAATATAATATCTGAACACGTAGAAAATTTCACTTCCTTTGACTGGATGTGCATGGATGGAATGTATTCCAAGTGTTCTTAAATTTAGATAGTCTATCTCTGCACTAAATCTACAAAGTCATTTCGAACAACGTAGAATTAACTTTCTCTTTTTTGTAGTCTACACATCAGAATTATTTACAGTCTCCGAGTCAGTCGACGTGAGCAATGCTTTTCAACATATAATACTAAGCAGAAATTTCGGAAGCTGGGCTGAATTCGAAAGTGCGTTAATTGGATTTGAACAAGCGGTGAAAAGTTTAATCGCTTTGTATACAATTCATACCCATTAAATTAGTGTCCGCAGTAAACTGCTCAAGTTGGCAAGATTTAAATAAATGTACGTGATGTTTAGTGTTCGTTTGGTCGTAAGCATAAACCGTATGGTTCACAGAATAACTAATCAATGATATTTATGATACCTTTCTATCTCAACCACGTCTATGACTCATGCTTGTAAAAAGAATATTTCCTGTTCCGCCCCTCTCCAATTTCTCTTAGTTTCTTTTTTACAGCACCTCACCCTACTCATCAAATATTAGCTTTCATAATGTCTAAGACTTGGTGGCTTTACTCAGGAGCCTTTCAAATCATTACCTGATGAATCTCGACAAGAAGATCCTCACAGACCTACCTCATCACTTCTTGTTATATGCAGACCTAGGTTTAACTTGCATTGATTCTCAACGAACAGTGGTTCGTCGCACCGCAACCAACATAACTTGCGCCAACAACTGTATTGTATATTCCAGAGTCTGAAGCATTATTTACAATGTTATGTGAAAACTGTTAGCCCTCAATAAAAGGCCAGGGTATCTTGTGAATTTTTTGTCTAACTGAACAACCTTTTACAGAAAATGTGTTAACGATTTAAACATTTTGGTCTTGCCTGTAAATTAACATGTCCCATATAACACTTTGTTGTTTGAGAATAATCAACAATGTAAGATCCATTTTTGAACGCTTTGTTTTGGAAAATCTCTCCATGTATACCTTTGTAATATGTCCTTATTGATTCTTTCACTTCTACATTTTGGTAATCTGTTCAATTTTTTTATGCTCATTTTGAAATGATAATATTTGTATTTTATTGTAGTTTCTATCTTTTGTTCCTTTACTGAGTTTCTGTTTTTCTTTCCGAACTGCATTATGTTGTTTAAGCTGATACTTAGTTATGGCGACAGCCATAATGATTTTGTTCCGTTGATGGTTGGAGCGCCTACACTGACCGGAAGTGTGCAATTTGGGTTGGAAATTGCAGCACTCTACCACAAGTGGAAACATTCTGTGTTATCATTGAAAGAATAACGCGGTAATATTGCTTAGGTAATGATATATATTCATATTTATGATTAATAATAGAAGAGTTACTTACCCAAAACACTTGTTTGGGATTTAAACTAGGCAAGGCGAGTATCTTAATTACCCGGACAGTTATTCCTCAATCCAAACCTCAGTTTGGATCCCAAAATTAATATTATTAGTGTTGGAATAGGCCTATAGTTTGAGAATGTCAGCTGACGGCTTACGATCAGCAGCAGTTTCCGCACTAGGCTGCTCATGATCACTAGTTAGATGCTAACATTTTTAAGGGCCGGATGTAATAGGGATGCCCCCTGGCTGCTAGATGAACAAATTATTCAAAAATCCATCATTTAATTGAAATCGCTCTTCGCTAGTCTTGACTTTTCAGAAACTACTCCCCATGTTTCCCGTGATACAGGTAGCCGTATACGCGGCAGTTAAAACGCTGGCTTATAGGGCTCGGGATACTCGGAAAGTACCGGCCAGAAGTACGAATCAGCAGCATTTAAATTCCTAACAACGCGTAACTTGATTTCAGAGATTAGACCGTACAAAAAGGTGATATGCTACACGACACATAAAAATACGTAGACTTAAGTCCTATCCATTCGTACGTATTCGCTTTTTATGCTTGCAGTCTGTTATGCAATGCAAAATCATTATGATAGTTTCGCACTCTCCCCTCAAGTTTGCATACAGTCAGGAATTAACTAGTAATTGTTAATAGGACGAGTGAAATACGGAGAATATGAATAATGTTGAAGATATTCTGTAAACACTATTCAGAATGGTTTTCAGTACTAACGTCAGATATTATACAGAAAAACTCATTTTCTTTGTCCATTGACCTTAGACGAGGTGTCATTTACATCGAGTAGGTTCCAAAAGGAAAGGTTTAAAGGTACCTGGTTCTTTTGAACTTACAACTTGCAGTAAGGTGTTATGAAGAATATGGTTGTGATATATATATGATATACGATATATATATGCTTGCAATAATCTATAACCAACAGATCGTCAGTACGGTTCCGTACCAAACTACAGTGAATAAGGCAAGTATTTAGAATAGAATCGCGATATAGTTAGTACAGAGTTTTATTTTCATGGCTAGGCTTGGTGGGCTGTAGAATTTTCCACAGACGGAATACTTTCACTAAAGTGAAAGAAGAATTGAAGCTATTCTTTGTTCATTATGAATTGATAGGGACAACCCTCAGCGTTACTTCTACCAATATTAACGGATGCTTTTGTCCTGCACATCCAAAAAGAACTTAGTAAGCGTTATGCTTCGCCGTTACTAAGAACATTATCCTACAATCATACAGAATAACTGTTAACCATCTCAGATTTACCTAATGAGAACAGAGGACCTATAGCCTTCATAAGTCGCTTTCTGGTTAGCTTCTGAGAGTGTCTAGCCTCTTTTTGACAGAGTTAATTAGAGGGGATGATGGCATACCTCTGTGTAACGGGTTGACAGAGTATGTGACTCGACGTACAGATCTATATTTCAAGGTTTATTTGTTTATCCTCGGCTTCTGTTTCAGAGCGCTACATCCTAAGACAAAAAAGAAAAGGTGTATGTGCACCAAAATCATTTATCAGTATTTCTTACGAAGAACCAGATTAACTCCAAAGTAGGAGAGAGTAAGAAGTCATGAAAATTCAAACCACATCGTATAATGAACTTCAGAGTTCCGGAATGGCATAGGTAGCCGCCATTCGTACTTTTTCTGAGATACATTAATCACTATTTAAAGGGGGGTCTGTAGCTTGAAGCTAGTCTTCAAGTTTAGATCTCACCAAGGTTGTATGTGCTGTAGTAAACATACTAGTATCTGACTTGGTAAGTGTTCTTCTTGAAGTCCAGTATGCTCTGAACCACTTAGCTGCAACAATACGGCAGTGGGCCGTGGTGTTAAGGTCGAGGCTTACTGTTACTCAAAGGTCGCAGTGAGACCAGTCATATGGGTGTTGACGCTTCCTAAGTGCTCTACCTACTTGCTTCTGTATCCCCAATATGTATGAAGATACACTTGGTCACTTTGATAGGCACAGGCAATGTTTTAGATCAGCTAAACAAAATATCTAAATGTAACAGTTTAAAACCTTCACACTTTCCACTCCTAATTTTGCTTTCTGACTCTCAGAATCTATCACTTTCATGATCACCGGTAATTGTTTATAAATATTTTCGTTGAACGTAAGTGCATTGAGTGTGCTTACTAGGTCATCAGCTTATCTTGCCTCTAGTTCTTTTTCCCAATTCTCCCCACCTTTTCTACTTTGTATGCCCCCTAGTACCAAAGGTATTCTAGTCAGATGCAGATCCCTACATAAGCCAGCGTGAAGCGCACATGCATCTTCCTATATTTCTTGCTCAAATATATCTAGGTTACTAAGTGGAGGCATCATTGGTACATTGCTATTAGATCGCTAACTAAATCTATCTAGCTAAATGTCTCTGTTCCCTCTCCCTTGCTTACACTTTGATCCTCTCGAACAATCTGCAATCTTATTCACATTGGCGTTAAAATTTTCCCCTTATTATTCTCTGTATTGCAACTAACTGATCGCCACTCTCGTAGTGTGATAGCTGCTCGTATCCAGAAACCTTATTTCCCTGAAACAAACGTCTTCATTGAAATCACAGGACATAAAACTCACAAACTGCTGCCAACTCACTAGAATTGGGCCTTCGATTAGCTAGACCCCCATCCATTGGACACTACCAAATACCTGGGACCGTACCGAAAGAACAAGAATCGTGTGAAAAGGAATCATTTGGTTTATACAAGCCGATGAAAAAGATATTTGATATTGGATAAGCGTTTGTACAAGTCTATGTGTTTCTCTATCTTCCCTCTGATTTAAATTTTGCGTTACAATTCGACGTCATGATATCTATGCAAGACATAAGAGTATGGGCAGAGAAGCATAATATGTATATGGTAGTGTTTAAGTTCGTATAAATATTTCCTAAGGATTTCGTGGGCCAGAAAAAAGCTGAAAAATTTATGAACCGAATGATAATAGCATTTCTGGTTAGTTTCTCTGATATCAAAGTCTTGACATGTTATTGTCTGTAGATTATCGCATTCCCAGTTGGATATTGCAAACAGCAGCTGTCTGATAGCGTCCTAATACTCTTGTTTGGTTGTATACTTACGGCACTTGTTGTATTGCCTCCATGGCCATTTTACCATAAAAATCCAATTGACTGGTACCACGAAGAACCAAAAAGCAGCAAAAAACAGACCAATTCTTAAGTCATGTCTTCAGTTTAATTTTTTATTTTTCTCAATAATAAATTTGATTTTTCTGACGCCAATGGCGACTTCGAATTATATTATGACAGACTGTATTTTGATGATACATTTACACTAACTTGTAATTTTTATATAGAGCTCAACCATTTATAATCTTGGGGTTTATAGTGCAAGTTCCCGTGCTGGTTACACAAACTACTTTAATGTATCCCGTCACCTAAAATTGCGTTAGAAGTAAGAGTACAACCGGCTTATTCTGTATTCCATAGGCCATTCGAAACTGATATTCTCGAGACTTTGGTATCCTTAGTAGCCTAAAGTGTGTATGTTATCAAAGAATACAACTAAATAATCAATAGGTATTTTTCTTGCATAAGATTGACGTTCGGCCTATAAATACTAAGTTATTAAATCTAGCGTAATCTCACTGCGGGGCCGAGTCCTAAACCAATTGCCTCAGCCTTTTCTGGTACTTGTTAATTTTACATATGGACTTCCACCGTAAGTTTTAGATTATTGCTGTACGTGATTAGTAGAAATAAACAGGTTTCTCTAGTATTTTGCATTATTTGAGGTTTCATTATGCTTTGTTATCCACGGATTTAATTACTACGTTAGACTCAGGTGGGTATCGTATAAGTGAACCACAACTCCGTGTTATTCAAATTCTGTTAATTTTCATCTGAATGACCGTAGATATCTTTACGAAAGCTTCAAACAATAATGACAGTGGCGATTTTACATTTAACATTCGATTGGGAATTCAAGTGATCCTAAATTCTGTAGCAAAATTTGAACAATGTGATTTTACTGGCTTCGTTCACTACTGAAGGCAGGATAACTTGAACATATGCACTGTTGGTGTGGATCTTAACCTATCTGCCATTTATATATGCAGCGAAATGCAAAGCATGCCATCGGAGATTTGATCAAGTAAAGCCAACCTCATCAGTCAGTCGGTCATTTACAACATAGAACTTCGTACGTACGTACATCATTTCAAGTTGCCATACTGCATTGGCACAAAGACGCAATTGTCAATTCAAATCCCATAGTAGTATAGGTGGTAGAAGTATTAACAGTAATCGAAGAGATTAGGGTTGGGCATACGTATCTCATGTACCAACTATCTCAACTGATGAAGTTTCAATACTTCATCTATTGATCTACCATTCTTACCTAGTGCCCGTCGCCTAACAACAAAATTGCTTACTCGGTAGTCCCAAGATAAACGAGCAATGCTTCGGAGATACCTATGATCGAAAACCAGTAACCTACGAATATCTTCTACTCTCACTGGCCATGTTTCACAGTCGTATGGTAGGACGGAGCGAACTACTGCTCACGACACTCATCCTCTGGTTAACAGACGGCTCTCGTCTACGCCAAAAGTGAGGCAAGTTGGCAAAAGCCAGTCGAGCTCTGTGTATCTGTGCTGAGATTTCGTCAGTCACCAGGCTATCAGCGCTGATGAGACTCCCCAGATATGTGAAGTGGTCTACACGTTTGACTGCTTCACTCCCTGTCACTAGTTCAGGTGTCAATGCAAGCCAATCCTGAAGTAACATTTGCATTTCGGCTGGGAGAATCGCATCCCGAACATGCATTGCTGCTTAGGATAGTCAGAAGACTGCGTTTGGCCAGCGTCTTCATCGAATAGAAATATGTCATCAGCATATTCTAAGTTAACGAGCGAATCATTGAAGGTAAGTAACCTATTCCAAAACTTATGATAACCTTCCACTAGAAAAACAACTTAAAAATAAATCTGTCGAAATACCACAATCGGTAGACAATAATCTTATCAAAGACTAATTTACTCGATGACCTACAGTTAGCTTCAGTTTTGTTCAATCACCCATGCAACACTGAAATGAATGTTGGATACAGATAGAACTATTATGTGGACTGTATATGACATCGTACAACCATATAGTGGATTAGAACGTCGCTAGACACTAGGTTTATCATTCAATACCTTGATATCCTGTTTGAGCTATAGTTGGCGTTCATTATCACTTCACAAAACGATGTTGTATACCCACTCAGGAAAACAAAATGTGAAGCAAAAGCCATGTGGCTTAGAATACGTTGCTTAAGTCTCATCTTTGTGTAAAACGTTTACCCGAGTCTCAGTAATCTACCTATGATCCAAGTGTATAAACTCACGTTGAATTGACTCTTATAAATAATAGGTAGCGTCTTTCGATCAATACTCCCGACCGAAGCTGCTACCTTGACGTGGTGGTCGGGCTTGACTATCGTGATGATTCAACTGAGCTATACTGGCTGGAACATATGTTCCTGAAGGTCCTACCATGCCATGCTGATCGATTGGAGAATGATGAGACTAAAAGCAGCTACCCAAGGTCTGAGGGCGAAGTCGTACTGCTGACTGCAGAGGGGTGTGACAGCAGTAAGGTGTTTCCCTCGGACAACCAGCATCTGCAGCGATGCTGCCTTCTCACAAGGAAGGAAGGGTTAGAAAAGGTAGACCCTAAAATTGTCACACCTCACCCTACCTCACGGATTTCCGTCTCCGGCGGTAGGGGTGCCCAATGAGGGCTTTCAAGAGCAGAGCTAATCCTCAAAAAACCCTTCACAAAAAGGCCGTGCGTGACCGGCCTCAAGCAGTTGTCCCTTGGGCTCTGCGGTCACGTACCTAGGTCTCTAAGACCAACACAAATCTATTTTCCTTTCCAGGTTCCTCAAGAAACAACCTTCCACGGTGTGGGCAGCCGGGAAGTGACAACCGCCCTCATACCCGTAACAGCACGCGAGACCAAATTGGTCAAAATCAAGTCCTTCCTACACCCCCAGTACCTCTCTTATCTCTACTACTAACTCTTCTCACATTCCTTTATCACACTGCATAGCTAATGCAAACGATGCGAGTTCACGGAACGTCGTTTCTGGACTCCTGAAACCCCGCTCTAGACTACTTGTTGAAGCATTTAATGTACGTACATTATGTCAAATAGGGCAACAGGCTTCGTTAGCTAGAACTTTACAATCTCGTGCCATCGACGTATGCTGCGTCTCGGAAACGCGCATACAGGATCCTAGTAAAATTATTAATCTGATTTCACCTTATCAAAATAAAGAAGCAGGTCGATTTACTCTTCGTGTATCCGGTAGCCCTGATGCTGCTTCTCGGGATCTCGCTGGTGTAGGTATAGTATTGAGTCGCAGAGCTGAACAATCTCTCCTTGACTGGATCCCAGTAGATAGTCGCTTGTGCGCTGTCCGACTAAACGGGACGGTAAGGACTCGGAAAGATAGTGACAATCGTCGTTGCCTCTTCATCGTATCTGCCTATGCCCCCACTGAATGCAGTTCAGACGAGGTTAAGGATGAGTTTTACAGAAAGCTTTCGGACCTCCTCCAAAAAGCTAGGCGTTCTGATATAGTAATAATGGCTGGTGACTTTTATGCTCAAGTAGGTAGACTAAGTGAGCAGGAGAGACACCTAGGTGGATGTTATGGTGTCGCGGCTCAGAGAACAGACAATGGTGACCGTCTGTTGCAAGCATGCTCAGACAACCGCCTATTCTTAGCAAACACTAACTTTAGGCATAAGGAAAAGCATCTGTTGACCTGGCGACCTCCAAAGTCGTCTCAACGTTGGACGCAACTAGATCACATCGCCATCAGCCACCGATGGAGAGGTTCGATAGAGGACTGTCGCTCGTTCTGGGTCACATGTTTAGATTTAGATGATGCCCTAGTGCGAGCGCGTATTTGTTTGAAGCTTACTGGGCGTAGGAAAGACACCGTAAGAAAGCCTCTTAGGGTTTTACTTAATGATAATAAGGCGAAAAATATATTTCAGGAACAACTAGAAAAACAGTTAGGCGGCCATGCAAGTGATTCCCATCCTGAAGCAGGTTGGAATCATATTAAGAAGGCTGTGGAAACAGCAATGGTATCTGCTAGCAAGGTAAACCTCAATGCTAGGATGAAGCAGTGGATATCAGTCGCATCCACCGAACTGATGGATGCCCGAAAACTCATCCCACCTGGCTCTGAACATGATGAAGAACGAAGTCAACTTAGGCGTAGACTTATGAAAAGCCTACGTAACGATCGTGAACAGTGGTGGGTGGCGAAAGCAAAAGCGATGGAAAAGGCAGCGGCGATAGGCAACACTAGACAACTTTTCCGACTTATCAAGGAAACTGGTATTAGGAATCCTAGTGTAAGTGAGACTATCTCAGAAAATGACGGGACTATTATTTATTCTCAATCCAGGAGACTGGATCGATGGGCAGAACACTTTAGGGATCAGTTCAACTGGCCTCGAGCCACTGTTCGGTTACCCACGACCTCCAGTCATCCTGAATGGCAAATCGACGTAAGTCACCCTAGTCTTTACGAAGTTCAAAAAGCGTTAGGAAATATGAACCGAGGGCGAGCTGCAGGTCCTGATAGACTGACCCCTGAGATATTTAAGGATGGTGGTCCAGTTTTAGCAGCTAGGTTGACTGAGATCTAAGGTAGAATCTGGGAACTGGACGTAATCCCATCCGACTGGTCTCAATCACTGATTGTCCCAATTTATAAGAAAGGACAAAAGTCTTCTTGTGACAATCACAGGGGAATAAGTCTAACTAATGTAGTATCTAAAATATTGGCCTTAGTAATACTTCGACGCTTAACGAAAGCTCGTGAAGAGCAAACTCGAGAAAACCAATCTGGTTTTCGACCTGGACGTGGTAGTATAGACCACATTTTCACACTACAACAGGTCCTGGAACACACACACATTTATGCGTCCTACAATAGTTGTGTTCCTGGACCTAAAAGCTGCATTTGACTCAGTGGATCGTGAGGTTCTGTGGTAGTGTCTGTCATTGAAAGGTGTACCAAAGAAGTACATTAACCTTATACAAGCTCTCTACTCGAACACCACTGGTCGAGTGAGAGCTTATGGCGAACTGTCACCGGAATTCTCTACTTCAAGTGGTGTCCGTCAGGGATGTCCACTTTCTCCATTCTTGTTTAATTTTATCATAGACATGCTCCTAGAAATAACCTTATACTCGTCTGAATTTTCTGGA